CCAATAATATGTACACTGAATTATGTTGTGGTTGTTGAATGTTGATGTCATGGTACACAATGGATTTTAAAAAAATACATAGATTCGAAACTGGAATAGTTTCACCAGAAAAAAAAAACTTTTTTAATAAGATAGTGGCACAAAATGTCGTTGTTAAACACAATAAATTATACCCTAAACATTTTTATGTGGTACCTATACATTGAAACATTGAACAAAACGTTTGTAAATAGGTGTATGTGTTTATAGTTACGATACAGAATATGTTTAATTCATTGTTGAAGGCCGTACATGTATCTTTAGTTGCTTGTATACAGATGTGATTTTGTCTCTGGTTGTTTATTAACTTATATTTCGTATTTCTTATCAAGACGTAACGAGTAAAGTGAAGTAACGATAATTACTACAGAACAATTAAACACGGGATCAAGAAAAGCAAACAATTTGAAAATGTTGTATTTTTACAATAAAATGTAAATCATTATCATACAATAATTACACAGGCATGTAAAATTTTTAAGAACACACATGGAGAACACATCCCAACTTAACATTGAATTATGGGAAATGACTTAATAAAACAAAAATCCTATAAGGCCGTACTTATTAGACGGGCATAAATTTGCGCATGGCGAAACAAACTGGAAAAAGATTTAAGAAAAGGACACAGATTTGAGGCCGTATATTTTTAACGGACATAGATTTGCGAATGCAGTCACGATTGAAAACAAATTTGAAAATAGGACACATATTTGAGTCCGTATCTTTTTAACGGACAAAGATTAGCGATTGACGTCACGATGGGGCACAGATTTGAGAAACGGCCACAGATTTGAGGCCGTACATAGATCTGAGGTTTACATATATATGTAAGATTAGTAACCGCGATGGTACTCCAAACCGCGATGGTAACGCTGAAGTGAGAAAGTCCACGCTGAAGTACGATGGTGACATTGTGACGCTAACTTGTAGATATCTACGTTGAAGTGCGATGGTCTGACTGTGACATCGAGTAAAAAGCAAAATGTACATGAGCTGTTCAAATGAAATAACATCATTAAGATTTGACTAAAGTTGGTGCTAGCATCGCATTTTGAAGATCGTTTAATTTCTGTTCAGGTTAAACCAAAGACTCATATTCTAAATTTGTCAATTCTCCGATTAGCACGCAGAAGTATTGAGTCAGAAAATAGACTGGATGGCTCATAATGGGTTGAGTGGAAGAAAATGTCTTTTTGTGGAGTGTTCAAGGGCGATTAAGAAAGGTTAAGCGTGTAGGTCTATATATAGTACTAAGCAGGGTCCATCTCTTTTTATCAAATATAACTTGTTCACGTCATGACAAAACTTAGAAATTGGTCACAACAATCACTTATCCATTTATCTGATGTCACGTATTCCACCAAAAACTTTAAAACAAAAGAACAGAATTCCAATGTCCCCTGCGTTGCACATATTTTATATTTCCAAGGGGTATCACTCTTTTTAGAAAAATTGATCGGCCAATATAATAGAACTTGTCCGAGATATTGCTGATATTAACTTATAGTATAAGTTTTATAAAAATCTGGCAAGAATTGTACCCGTGAGAGCGCTAACGAGGCCATTTTCAATAAATTTAATATTTCCAAGGGACATAACTCTTTAAAAAAAGTCGATCGGCCACCATGATAGAACTTGTCCGAGATATTGCTGATATTAAACTATAGCATAAGTTTTATAAAAATCTGACAAGAATTGTACCCGTGAGAGCGCTAACGAGGCCATTTTCCGTAAATTTGATATTTCCAAGGGGCATATCATTTTTTTTTTTTAAAAAGTCGATCGGCCACCATGATAAAACTTGTCCGAGATATTGCTGATATTAACTTATAGTATAAGTTTTATAAAAATCTGGCAAGAATTGTACCCCTGAGAGCGCTCACGAGGCCATTTTCAATAAACTTTATATTTGCAAGAGGCATAACTCTTTTTGAAAAGTCGATCGACCAATATGATAGAACTTGTCCGAGATATTACTAATATAAACCTATAGTATAAGTTTTTTAAAGATCTGGCAAGAATTGTACCCGTGAGAGCACTAACAAGGCCATTTTCCATAAATTTGATATTTCCAAGGGGCATAACACTTTTAAAAAAAAATTCGATCGGCCACCATGATAAAACATGTCCGAGATATTGCTGATATTAACTTATAGTGTAAGTTTTATAAAAATCTGGCAAGAATTGTACCCCTGAGAGCGCTAACAAGACGAGACGGACGGACGCACGCACGCACGGACGCACGGACACATGGACGCACGGACGGACGCCCGGTATTTCCATGTCCACCGCAACGCGTTACGCGGGGGACAATTAGCTGCTTCTCTGCTGAGGAGGAGCAATTGAGAAGTAGACGTAGGGACTAGTCAGGTTTATTTCGGCCTAATTTGTTGTAAAAGATTAACACTGTAACTACAATGAAATTAGGCTAGAGTACCGGTGTTCTTGCAAAGCAGGATTCATCTACGGCAATAAAACAACATTATATATATCAACTTGATATAGAAAAAACATTGCTTGTAGTTAATTTTATTATTAAATTGTCCGCATAAAATCACGTGACGCATACTTGAAGAGAAGTCAAAATCATTTTTTTAGATCAATATATTTTATTTATTGTGCAAAAAAAATGCGGTAAACTTCCGAACACTGGTTATCCCATTTGCTGACCAAGTTCATATTGTAGCCTCTTTGCTTCCCATTATTTGCTGCCTGACATGGTTTAACATATTTTTGTAACCTCCCTTTGTACTGCTCAAAACTGTTCGGGACTTGAATCGTTCTTTACTTTCTTTTTCCATTCCTTTGTTTTGTTAGCATGAAACCTTCATCTTCAAAACCTTTTCCTCCTGCCTGCGAATCCATGTTGTATTTAAAGTAACGTTGTATTTGAAAACGTCACAGTATTCAAGCGTAATGCCAAACCATCGCACTTCAGTGAAAGGACCATCGGACTTTGGCATCTCATTAATTAAAATTCATACTTTGAATTATGACATTACCATTTTTACATGTTTTAAGCAGCAGTTCCTTGAATCACTTTAATTAAATCTTGTAATATTGTTCGATAATTAACAATCGCCTCGATCATTTCTAATTTTCATAAACATGATGCTTCACAAATTATTTATGTTTTTTTCCCTTCATTATTTGCAAACATGAAAGAAAAAAATACATGATCGAATCATCAATACAATAATTGGTTTTAATTGACTAACGCTTGTATCTATACAATTCCAGCTATAATGTCCTCGAACCATTAACATGTATCCATGTATCTTATAAAGGAACAGTCTCGTCATACATGTTGATGTATTATCATGTACACCGACGACATTTTTATGAAAATAAGTAAAATCATTGTTAATAAGCTGCCTATTTTAGCCAAATGTTTTTTTTTCTTTTTTTTTTTTTTGTTAAGAATTTATTGGACTTGAAATAAAGGATACTACTGTAATTTGAAGATCTGCTTCATATTATGATCTTTTTCTTGATATGACACGACTTCAAACTAAGATCTATGACAAACGTGATGATATCAGCTTTCCCATTGTTAACTTCTCATTTCTCAACGATAGCAAACCCTCTGACCAACAGTATGACGTTCAATTATCTCAACTAATTCGTTTCACGATGGCATGTTCATACTATACGGACTTCATTAACAGAGTTACGATCCTGATACAAAAGCGTCCCTAGCAAAGGTTTGATGAAAAACGATACTGAAATCAATGCTAAACAAATTTTCTATGTTCCCATTATAAACTGGTTGACCGAAACGATTGCGATGTGTCTGTGTCCAAGCTTAAAAGTGGCATGTTTCGCGATCTTTGAATACCAGAGTAGGCATATGATCTGTAGAATACCTGATTGTTTCCTATTCCTTATTGTGATATTTTGTTAGGCAACTATTCATTTAGACCTTAGGAAAGTATGTGAACAATTATAAATCACCGTACGATAATGCGTCAACAATGATAAACAAACATATCTTTTATATACTTAGCTAAAAAAAATCCCTGGGAAAACAAACAATTTAATTCTAAGTCAAACAATTCAAAAAAGAAAACCAACAGTCTTATTTTATACTACAACAGTAAATGAAAAATAAATATGACAGACGCAACCAACGAAAACCACTTGATATTAGACGCATCAATATATTAATGAATTTTTACGTTCAGAAGACATACATGTGGTTTCAACAATAGAAAGGAATAATGTTTATACAATTTATCCAACTCAACTTCTTAAACTTCCGACTTTACATAAAACATATGTAACTTATATAAATATATAAGTTAACTCATCATATATACCAGGATTAAAATTGGGTACGCCAGACGCGCTTTTTGTCTACAAAAGACTCATCAGTGACGCTCAAATCAAAAAAGTTAAAAAGGTCAAATAAAGTACGAAGTTGAATAAGAAAGCCTTTGGTGAATGTTCTGACTTAAACATGTGGCTAGCTTGAACAAATGTTTAGACGCTTTCCCTCTCAATTTCGATCAGTGGATAAAAAAGAACACAAAAAAAACAGAAAACAAAAAATCAGTAGAGAAAAGCACTTTACCATATAATAACAATATGATAAAAAACAAACATACAAATACGTCAAGCAAAATAATATCAAATACAACTTTATCAAAGAATGCCTTGCAGTCACTGAAAGCAAGCTAAACTACTCAGCCTTATTAATCGTTATTCATATTTGCCTCTACTTACAATCTTTTATTTTATAGTGAGGGTAATAGATATCATTACGTCAAATGACATTGTATTTCACTTCAAATCATTACGTCAGAGAAAAAATAAATAGAAAGGTACATTTTGTAAGTATCTAATTTAAATTGATAATTATATGTGTTTGTATTTTACATGAATTATTAATTGACTTAGTTTGAAAAGGTAGACATAGCCTCTCCGACGTAAGTAAAAAAAGATAATGCTAAAACCCCTACATATTAGAGTCAATTGACACGTAACTATGAGTGCATGTGTAAAATAAACGTCTTTGTCGGATAAAAATCAGACAACTGTATATTATTGAACTTTAAAATTACAAATAATGTCTTATACAACGGCTTTATTCAGCGGTCATTAACATGTTTGTTTTGGAATATGGCCATTTTCGTGAACCGTAAAAAAAATGAATATGTTCGACACAATTACAATTTATAAATTCGCAATGATACAAATAACTGACTTAAATTCTAATCAAAATGATTTCCACTATGCTCGGAGAATTGCAGTTAATCACGACAATATAGATTGTGGTGCACATGTCGACCAACGACGGATTTCAATAATGTCACTAAATACCCAAATACGATTAATATGACAAATTTAGCATCGAATAAAATTATACCATGAAATCTTCACGTGATTAGATTCGTCAATGGAATAAAAAGATCAAACGATGATAATTATTCAGACACAAGTAGACAATCATGGAAATAAATACTGATGACAATATTTCAAGTTCTGAATATATTCTTGTATATGTAGAAGATTTAAACATAAGTGTTGCAGAAGCATTGGTTGATACTCCAGAATGGGAATACAGATTTGCAGTTCCAGCTATTTTCTTGATTTTTATGATAACAGGAATGTTGGGCAACGGACTTGTGGTTTTAGTTTTCATAAAAAATAAAACTTTCCGAACTATAACCAATATGTTTCTGCTAAATTTAGCGGTCACTGATCTAATGTACTTATCGTTCTGTGTTCCATTTGGTGCCACGCGCTATTATAAAGGGTACTGGATATTTGGGAACACATTATGTGAGTATGATTGATCATTTATTTTTCATATTTATCTGTAAGTTTTTGAATTTTAACATTTCGATATCGCCCAGCAGCAAATATTTCATGCAAAATCAGGACAAGAACAAAATTAACAATGAATAATATCTCAAAATTGTGTCGTCCAGGATGAAGGGCGGGAATGTGGACTGTAACTGAAAAATAAGGGTATATATCAACAGGCTACCTACTGACCAATTAATCCAAAGGAGAATAACTTAATATCCGTCGTATAAAATACACATTTCTATCTTTTGTCTTAACATCAACAACGAAATCATGAAACAGAAATGGAATCGTTGGGCTGAATTTTAGGTATGACTTCAACTTTAACCACTTTATGTAATTTTTGTTATTGACAGAATGAATATTTAAAAAAGGATAAATTCAAATTAAAGTTTTTTATACATTCTCACTGTGTGAATAAAGGAAACAGTATTTTTTTTTATGTTTAAATCTCACAAATCGATTTAAAAACCGAACTAAGGTAACAAACAAAAAACTGAGGGAATCTTATTATGTACAAAAGAGATAGTTCGGACGCATCGATAGTGCATCTGTACTAATAAAACAGGATAAACATTAAAAAATGGTTCTCTCCTCACACTATTATACGATTAAATACAATACATAAAGATAGTATTTATATAATTGTAAACTCATAAAAAGCAATTTTTAAGAAGGGCTGAAGATTGAAAACTATTGTATATATAAGCTAAGCCAACAGCATGAAATGATCGCACAGAAATTGCTATTATACTGTTTCAATGGTCTGCAATTTTCCCGATTTTTCATGAATTCTGCTAAGCCCATTAAATGAATTGAAATATATTCATATGAGCATATATGTCAATCAACAGCATACATGTTTTGTCGTACTCTAGGTTATTTAGGTACAACTGTACTTCGCCGTCGGACTGCCGGCAGTCAGTATAATTTTGTAAACACATGATAAAAATTAATATAAAATTTTTGGCATATGTTATTAAAGAATAAGGTATTATGCATTATGCGCATAAGCGCGAGGTAAAATTACTGTGACAATACATTTTATACAATTGGTCGCTTTAACTTATGTATACAAAAGCTTTTTTCAATTTGGCATTTCACCAAACAAGTCACGATACTGTTACACAATTGATCTGTAGACCATATAAAACAGGTTATAAATATAAATAAATTATATAAATGAATTTGTTTTTAGTTTGTTTTATAAAATAGGCCAGTGAAAAATTTCTTGAGTAACAATTGTCAATACTAATAATTATGTGTATTATACAATACATTTCACCTGGTGTGGCAATGCACAAATGACACTTCTTTTAAGGAGAGTTAGCACAAGTATTTATCATATTAGTACATGCGTGTTTATGGTGATTAAAATACGATCATTGTAAAAAGTATCATCATCAACTAATTTTTTGAAAAGAATCGTTCTTTGATTGAGTAGTCGTGTAAACCACGACTTATCAGCATAATGTTAATTGATGAAAATAGATTTTGAAACGACGGTAAACGTGAACAACACCAAATTGAATGATAATTTGTGGAATATAAAAGAATGGATAGCGCATTAATTCATGGCATAAAATACCTACATTGTACATACACTTGACCGAACCCAAAAAGAAGCAGCGCATGTATTGCTTTTTCTCATCCCACAGTCACTTTCAATATGAATATGAGTATCATAACTGTTTGATATAGCTTTACAACTAAATACTTTAATGTCCGTAATAATAACATATTATAGTAGAAAAACGAAATATGGTGTATTCCGATCAAGACAAATAATATCTACACGGACTTGAAAAAAAAGGGGGAACGGGGATTGTGTTGCCGTTTGTCATTTTTAAGTGACAGTGATTTATACACACGTACGATACGACTCATCAATGTATTTTAACAGGCGAGACATAAACAGTGCCACTAATGGAACAGAAACTGCTGAGTCTTCAAGAGAACAATTCTGCTAGTTAATTGATGGATTTTGTGTTACTCAACCTTTATTTTCTGTGTACTGTTTTGTGGACCGCTGTTTATCTTTTTATCTATTTGTCGCCATGGTGTTGTCTGCTTTTATTCCAATTGTGGTTTTCAAATGTCCGCTTTTTATCTTCTCCCTCTTTTTGGTATTATGGTAAATGCTCTACAAAAAAGATATAACGGAATGATTACTGGTTGAACTGTCCTCATAACATATTAATTATACATATTTAACAAAACTGAATAGTTTATTGGCAATACATTTTGGCATGGGTTAAGTTCATCCAATATATTTGGAATACGTTTGTCAAAGAAGTAATATTCAGTCAGAAAAAGCGTATGTTCATTCGCTTGCATTGTTTGTATTAAAAATTTGACAAAAGGCAGATAAGATGCTCTCTGAATTTTACATATATTTTGTAGACGATTACCCTAGTCAAAACTATAGAGAAATAACACTGACTTAACTAAATTTTGCAAGGATGCATATCTTACATGTATGAAAATAAAAGTGGGGATTATTCATGTTTATCGTCTATTTTTTTCCTGTTGTTATGAAATATGTCTGAGTCCTATGATCTCAAAATATTGAATTCATAAAACACCCATGTCCTGCGAACATCTTTTTAAAAATAGAAATGAAACCTTTACGGAATACTCATGGAAAACGACTTTTAAAACAGTATTCTGGATCATTCTAAATCCAACACTTTCATCATCTGAATAGATAACGCAGACACATGAAAAGTCACGTCTAGATGATAACACCATTATTGATGGAAAAGGTCACGTCAAGATGATCACAACAATTAAAACTAACTCAATCTTGATTTGTATGTTCTTAAATTTATAGAAAGTGTCACATGCATAGTAATGTTTACTAGCATAATCATTAATATTGGTATAAACATCCATCATTTATTATTTAGAATCTACAAAATTACCTATTTTGACACCATCTAAATTCGATTACTTAACTAGTGGTCGAAAAACCAATAGTAGAGACGTTTCAGAATAATACATATTTATGTGATTGTTGATATGACTATTCCACAAAAAATATTTCTTATATCTTAATTCAAGTATCTTTTAAGATGTGATCTAAAATGAAAGGAATTTAAATTTTGGTTTATAACATTTTCTTTCGTTACTACTTCTTTAAAAATAACAATTGCCAAGCATATTGAGCTGCGTCCGGAATGAAAAATGTTTTCAATTGTTTGTTGGGAGTTGAAACAGAAAATAACGAATGTTTTTACTAAAAAAGGGTTTCTATTTTATCAAGAGGGGGTTTGAACGATTTTTCAGATACAATGTACTTCTATTTGGATACACTTATTTTTTTTTACAAGGTCTGGTGAGGCCTGCAGCTGTAACAAAATAAAAATTATATATTACTAGAAATTTTTAATCACAATGAAAAAATCAATTTCAAAAGACTGGCAGCGATGCTTAAAAGCTATTGATTTCGAAATGTAACCAAAACACGTGTTTGTCATGGAATAAAGTGGTTGAAGAGAATAAGGTGACACACACATCTCCAAGATTTGTCAGTGGTTTTTTAAAATAAATTAAAATGTCATTATTACAAAGTTTTGGTCCCATTCAGGCAGATTTGCCTTTTCGAATTTTGCCTTAGGGTTATAAGATCATATTTAACTTAGTCTTAATAACTGTTTTGGAGACTCATTGTAATCGTTTGCGCTAATGGCCTGAACCAATCCCCAAAACAGGCCGAACAATCTACGACTAATGTACATGTACTATATGGATGGTTATTTTCACAACAGGAACACTTTTCTTGACACACTTGGATATAATTTCAAGAGTAGTTGCCTTCGAGATGAGATATTGTGGGTATTTCTCTGTCAAAAAATAACCTATGATGTTGTCTTTTGACATAGAAGGTCAAAAATTTTAGAAGTCGGATTATTACAGCCATATTTTTCGCTTCAACGATGACTTAGCTAAAGAAATTCAGTTTTTACATTACATTTTTGGAGGATTAATGATGATAGGAGCTATATACTGTAAACCAACTTATTTTTGCGGATATTTTATTTCGCGTTAAACCCTTTCTATCCCTTTTCACGGCGATTTGATTTCGCTATTTTCAAATTTACTTGAAGTAGTTGAATAAGGAATTATCTAAGTTATACACATTCGCGACGATTTATATTCGCGTTATTTTTCTACTGCAAAAGTCGCGAAAATAAGTTGGTTTACAGTAATCTAGGTAACGGTTGGTCTTGTTTTTCAAAAAAAATTCGAGTTTATTCAAATATTTTTGAAGTTTTAGTGTTATTCAATATTTGAATATTAAAAGCTGAAACAGTAAAGAAAATTTGTTTTTACAAGCATGTGTCATCGTTATATTGTCAAAGAACTCTTATACCTTCCCTCATTATTAGGACAAACTTATGCTTTAGCTATTATACAAAATAGTAATTTAACACAATATCAATGAAAGTATGACATAAATCTTCGGAAAGAATGACATTCATATCACGGGTTATTAAAATCGAAAAGAATTTGCAATTACCATAGGTTGCATTTTTCAGTCATTAATTCAGACGTAATTTATTTCAAATTATTGATATATTGTTCGTTATAGTTGCTTGAAGTACTCAAATTACTGTATTAATAGGTATAAGGAACATCAGAAAACTATTAACTTAACGATTGATAAAAAATATAGGCAACAGTAGTTTACCGATGTTAAAATCTCAAAAATCGATTAAGAAAATACAAATCAAGGTAACAAACAAAGATTAAAGGAATCGCATGAACTACAAATTTACCTAGATCGGTTCGCCGACAGGGTAAGCGTCTCCATACTTAGGTATTGACATGAATATCAATTATACGGTCATTGTTATAATATTTCCTGTTGACAAAACTTTGAATTTTTCGAAAAACTAAGGATTTTCTTATCCCAGGAATAGATAACCTTAGCCGTATTTGGCAAAACTTTTTGGTCCTCAATGCTCTTC